GTTGATAAGAACTGTGTGTGTGTGTGTGTGTGTGTGTGTGTGTGTGTGTGTGTGTGTGTGTGTGTGTCTGCAGGTGTGAACAGCAGCATCAAGTTTTACTGTGAAGCCAAGAACACCAGAGGGATCTCCGTGTCCAGAACAGGGACGGTCCACATTAAAGGTGAGTCCGTCTGCTGGACCTGGACTTTGACTGCTTCCTGCAGCAAGAGGAGCTGAAAGAGGAAGAACCTGGATCGGGTCTGCTGATGTTCTTTCCCTTTAGTTCTGCCAGACGCTCCCGCTGGTCTGCAAATCGTCAGGATGACTGACAGCAGCGCCACGTTGTCCTGGACCTCAGGGTTCACGGGTCATTCCAGAATCTCCTCCTGTATCATTCAGGTACCACCTGAACCATAAACACTGGATGAGACATTCTGCAGCAGCCACCTCTCACTTCCTCCTCCTCCTCCTCAGGTGAGGAGGTGGTCGCTCCGCAGGGAGGCCYCCCACCAGCAGGAGGTCCGGGTGACTCCTCCCAGCCACGTCCTGTCAGGTCTGAGGAGCCACTCCAACTACAGCGTGAGGGTTTCCTGCCTGAACGAGGTGGGCCCGTCCCAGTTCTCCTCCTGGATGCACTTCATCACACCTGAATCAGGTGAGGTGGATCAGGGCGGTTCTGATGAGGAGCAGGTCCGGTCCAGGTGGGTCGGGCTGGGTCAGGTGTTTGTTTGTGGAGCACTGGTCGTTTCACAGAGCAGTGTTTCATCAGTAAACAGAAGAGCTGCTGGTCCCCTGCTTCCAGCTGAACTGTGTGTGTGTGTGTGTGTGTGTGTGTGTGTGTGTGTGTGTGTGTGTGTGTGTGTGTGTGTGTGTGTGCGCCCCAGTCCAGCTGGACTTGATCCAGCAGATTCCTGGCCCCTCTGTACAATGAGCTTTTGTTTGTGGCCTCAATCCATGTGAAAAGATGGTCAGCAGTGCTCGCGGCGCCACCTGCTGGCCCGCTCGGGTCAAACCGGTCGGTTCTGACCATAGACTTGAATAAGAACACTAGACTGAGCCAGACACAGCCTCCATAGAAACTAAAAGATAAACAGCAGCTGAACTGGATCTGTTTCACAGATTATCTGTCATGTTTTTACAATAAATTAATAATTATGTTAATTTCATTCAACAATCATGTAAAACAGCCGACTTATACCAGAAAAAATAAGTAATGATCTAAACCAGACCTGAAG